TTTTTTTTTTTTAAATCATGAAAGGATATTGGATTTTGTCAAATGGTTTTTCTATTCTTTTTTGTCTTACTCTCTTCCCCTTTCCCTCTTCTTTCTTTTTAGTGCTGAAAATGAACCCAGGGTCCTCTACTACTGACCTATGTCCCGGTCCCTAGTAGTTGGGATGACACGTGTGAAATGTTTTTATACATCTAATGGTGTGATCGTATGATTTGTCTTTCTTCTTTTGTGGTACTGGGGATGGGAAGTGCTCTTGCTTGTCTAGCATATGTAAGATCTTGAGTTCATCCCTAGTACTGGATCTTGTTTTCTTGATTTTTTTTTTTTAAGTTTTCGTATGTTTAGCCAATTTGCCTTCCAGGGATAAAGTCCACCTGACCATCGTGTGTTATTCCTTTTATTTTTGAATTTAGTTTATTAGTACTTTATTGGGTTTTGAGGGTTATATTTATAAGAGATATTGGTATATAGTCCCCTTTTCTTGTGATGCCTTTGTCTGATTTTACTATCAGGTTAACACTGCCCTAACAAAAAACAAAATGAGTTCTTTCCTTTTCTATTTTTGTGAGGAACGTGTGCAGAATTGGTACTGTCATCTTTAAATAGTTGTCAGAATTCAGCAGGGAGCATATCTGTGCCTGGCATTTTCTTTGGGGAAGGTTTTGGATGACTACATTTGTTGTGTTCTAGATGTGTTTATTTTGGCATCTATTTAATTTTGAATTTTTTCACTGTGAAATCTAGCGTGATTTGATTTGTATTACCATCTATTTTTAGCAGTGTTATGTTTTGTGTCTAGATGCTCCCCCAAAGCCTCCTGTAATCATAGGTGGGGTTTTTGGGGGGTGGCTGGGTCTAGGCTGTGTAACACTGGGATCGATCATGAGATGCTGGGATTGATTCTCCATGCAACCCTGGATAGCACTGTAAGGGCCAGAAAGGGCTGCCTTTGTCTTGTCACTTACCTGTGGCTGCCTTCTGCCTTGGCACGAACTGTTTCTCCTCTGCCGTGCTGACCTGCCGTGAAGCCAGTCGGTTATGGACTGGAAGCTCTGCAAACTGTGAGCCAAACAAACCTTTCCTCCTCTAACTTTGGATGTTGGGTATTTTGTCTCAGCAATGAGAAAAGTAACCAAGATAAGTAGCATGATTGCAACTACTTAATATTTTAGTGTGATTGATCACTGGCATCTCACCAGGCCCTGGGGGCTGGGAACAGCATCTAGACCTTTGGCAGGACTGTGGGTTGTTATCTTCTCTGTGCCAGGACTGACCTGCACTTTGAACAAGAAAGCCCAGAAGAGTTTGGTGCTTTTGGTTCATGACACTGGAGCCTGGCCAAGCATGCTGGTGGTGCTGTTATGGGAAGTACGTGGAGATGACCCATATGCTTGCCCACAGGAGAAGACATCCCATTGTGCCCACTGTCCACTCCAGCTCATCCAGAAGGCCAAGAACAGGCAAAACCCAGCACAGTTATCAGACAAATATGGGAAAATAGGGGCTAACAGATGAAGAACCCTTCTGCTGTGTGATGCAGCGCATCATGTGGGTTTAAGGAAGTGACTTTAAAGGTCTGTGCTCCTGAGAGTTTGCAGTCTTTCTGCCCAGTGTGAGGCTGCTGCTGGCTGGCTGTCACTGTGTGGCCCTGTGAATCACACAGGTCTCCAGGGCAAGCTTCTGTTCCCAGCCTGGGCTTCTCCCACCTCTATGACCCCCTTATTCTCCCTCAGTTTCAATTTATTATTTTAAGCCCAGGAAATCTGGATCCTTTATCCTGTTCAGTTTTATTTTCTTCTGAAATCAGCCAGACCTATTTCTGTAATGCTTTGTTTATAGCATGATGTTTATCATCAACAGCAGTTCCTGCTTTGGTCCTGACAAGTCAGGCATGGCCTGAGGCTCCCTCTTCTGGAGCTTTCTCGAGGCTGCTGCTCATCCTTATCCAGTCTGTGTGGTGCCGAAACCCAGGCCCAGGGCTGCCAGGCTTCCTTTCCTTGTGGAGCCTGGTTTACACTTGCTGGGTGCTACCAAATGTGGTTGCCTTTTCTCGCCTGTGTTTGCATGATGAGAGCTGCTATAGCAAGCAGACCCTGAGATCAGGGGATCAAACACAGTGGATGTCTTTCTCCTGTTCATGGCATCAGTGTCACCCTCCTTTCATGGTGCCTGCCTGGCAGGTGGTCCAGGCAGATCATGGGAAAAAGCAGAGCAAGGACATAGTCATGAAGATATGACTAGGGATGCTAGGGGATACTGGACATTGCTGCCAGAGCCAGGGGCCCGGGAAGGATGGCATCCTGCAGCAGTTGCTTCTTCTGGTTCTTTTTGGTGTCCAATGCTGTCGTCTTGCGAGTCAGAAGGTGACAGGGATGAGTCTTCTCTTCATTCTGCTTTTCTCACCATTCCTTGGCCTGGATATGTTTACCTCCTTGTGTTCATGCTAGTTCTGGGTAGGAGAGCAATTTCTGTTTCTGTTGTTGCAAACTAGTGAACAGGAGAATTTGATTCTTTAAAGTGTGGTGTTGCTCTCTGTCTGCTTTTTGTGTCCCTGGGAGGCTGGGGACGGCCCTGAGGGTGCTTGTGGGGACTGAGACAGGGCAGGAGGGGTGCTTCCTACAGGGGCCTGCCATTGCCTTGCCTTCTCCAGGTAGCTGGCACCTAGGACATCAGCTGCTGTTTCTGATTTTGGGTGTGGCTGCAGATCCACTGTGCTCTCTGTGGGATTGCTGCCACTCCAGGTACTCTTGGTTGACCCCTGGAGTTGGGGTTGCTGGTCAGAGGCTGCTTACAACTAGGAGCTCATTTTGTAATGCAGCCCCCAGCCCGGGCTTTGGGAGTGGTCATTTTCTTATTGTTCTTAACCTAGGCATAGGTGAAGCATTGCTTATCTGGCCACACTGGTTTTGTCAGCTTTTACATTCCCCTTGCTGTCCTGAGAAGCAACGTTTGTCCCCTGTGAAGACCCCTCCCACCTCGACTCACAGCCAGCCAGCATAATGAACTGGTTATTAAAATTGACTTAGTGCGGGTGACAGAGTATGTGTGGGCTTGTGCCGAGCACTTAATGCACTCACAGAATTAATCCTTTCAGCACTTTGCAGGCCAGCTGAACAAAAGGATATTTGTACAAGGAAGGCTATACTGCTGTTTTAAGTCTGTTATTATATAAGTAATTCCAAATGTGTTAATTAATTTGTTTTCATCAGGCATATAAGATATATGGAGTTTATAATGTATATTGGTTACATAAATTGAATATTAAGCCATTATTTATGAAAGGTTAATTTTTATTTCAGCAAAATACTTTGAAAATTTAGTGTGGGAAGTAAATTTTCCTCACTAGTCCAAGTAAGTAATTACCATAATAGTAATTAGACATTTATTTCTCAAATATATTTACTTTAAAAGTACATAAGATAGAAATTTTCTGAAGGGGAAATGATTAAAAATGAGGCCTACAAGCTCTGAATGAATTGGAAGTCTGGCTTCGAAGATGTGTACCCACAATTTTATTTATCTTAGTGTTGTATGTCAGTGCCTTTGAGTGACAGCTTTTGGTATGTTAGAATTTAAATGGTATCAGGGTCTTCACATGGGCTGTTCTGAACGAGATGCAAAGAAGTTGATTAGCTCAGATTGTAAACTGGCAGCACTCTCAGGAATTGGCCAGGTGTGTATGGCTGAGTGCTGATGGCTTCTCCTCTGGGGTCCAGTGGGTGTAATGCTCAGGCTGTTGAGGGAATTGGGCCAGGTGTGTGTGTCACTTGGCGCTTGGTGGAGCACAGTGCACTGTGCCTCTCATGTGGGCTAGAGGGCCTCCGTTTCATTTCTTTGGTGAGTCAAGTGGGTCGTGACTCCAGCCCATCTCCAGACTCTCCTAATAAATTTCTGCACCTGGTTAGATAAGAGAAAGAGTACCAAAGGAAGAGACAGCATGGCCAGCACACTGCCCAGGGTCTCTATCCCTTCGTAGGAGCATGAGGCCCTCAAGTAGTGCGGCCTCCCGAGGCCAGTCATTGTCCTCCGTCTGCTCTTCTTCCCCCTCCTCTCTTCCCACCTGTCTTAAATTTTTAATTTTAGCAGGGTGTGGCAGTCAGCACCTGCAGTTCCAGCTTCTGGAAGGGATCCCTTAAGCCCAGCAGTTCAAGACCAGCTTGGGCAATGTAGTGAGATCATGTCTCAAAGTCTTTAAAAGTGTTTTTAGAAAGATAACGTTTTACAGAAATTGCAGGAGGAAAACCACTCCTGCCAGAGGTGGTATAACTGCATTCCTGATGGACAAGACCATGAGACTACTAGAGGCTGTGCTGTGGGAAGCTTCCTAAATGACAGGGGTTGACAGTCCTGGGCCTGTAAGCTGTTGCCCGGGTACGGTGTGTGTGTGGCCCTAGATACAGTACAGTGTCTGTGTGTGTGTGTGTGTGTGTGTGTGTGTGTGTGATCTAGATAGGGTACAGTGTGTGTGCGAGTGTGTGTGTGTGATCCTGGATGCAGTACAGTGTGTATGTGTGTATATAGGTATGGTCCTGGATAGTGGTATGTGTGTATGTGTGTGTGTTTCTAGACACAGTGTTTGGATGGGTGTATGGTCCTGGACATGATATGGTATACTTCTGAATGTACCTGCTTCTCTGATGGAGAATAGGCATAAACCCTATTCAGGGGACATGAACATAGGCATAGTGGCCTCTCCTGTCTGGGGCCCACCTGGCTCCATGAGGTCATTGTGGGCCCATGCTGCTCTGAGATACCCTGCATCAGCCAGGTCTCACAGAACTTTCCCTGTAGCCTGATACTCTAGTCTGATAAAAGGGGGCATGGATTTGGTTTCACAGTTGACCTAGATACCCAAATTCCTCCAGAATTACCAGTTGCTCTTGCCTTGAGTGTTTAAACATAAGATTATCTGAGTCTCAAATTCAGGATGGCTGGAAATTCAGAGTTGCCTTTCCTATGTCATTATTGAACCCAGCCTGGCTGTAGGTGGACAGCACAGTATCCATGGCTTAGACACTGGCCCCTAAGTGAGGGCCGTGATCCATCTTCAGGAAGGACAGAGATAGTGGCAATTTATATGGCAGTGCCAAAGAGAGTCTTGGGGGTGGGGGGATTTGCTCTCCCTCCCTTGCAGTTACCCCAGCCAACAGCACTCTGGTGCAAGACCTAAGCTTAAAGAAGGAAACTTTTGGGGCCTGAGTACTGTGGCAGGATGTGGACTTCAGGATCTCTGCAGCTGTCTGCATTCACCCATTTTTTCTTTTCTCTTTTTTTTTTTCTTTAGCAGTAGTGGGGAATTGAACCAGGTAGCAGCGAGCTATATCCCCAGCTCTTTTTATTTTGCTAAATTGCCTGGACTGACTTCGAATTTGTGATCCTCCTACCTCAGCCTCCCAAGCAGCCAGATTACAAGTATGCAGCATTACTCCTGGCTCATGCATTAACCTCTCTGTTATCCATACCAGGAAGCACAGCAGTACATCATGACAACAGAGCCATGGTCCCCTGTAGTGGTAAGTGCAGCACCCCCATGTATTTATCCTCAAGGGGGACCTTCCAAGACTCCCAGCAGGTACCTGTAACCAAACTCTATGTGCACTGCTTTTACCCATACATACAGGCCTATGATAAGAGTTAATGTCTTAGTTACAGTCCTCATTAATGGGACACAATACCCACATCCATGACTTAAAGAGGAGAGGTTTCTTTTGGCTCATGTTTCAGTCCATGGTCATCCAGCTCTAGAGAAAAAAAAAAAAGTATGGTAGAGGGGCCTGTGGCGAGCTGCTCATGTCATGGCAGCCAGGAAGTAGAGAATGAAGGGAGGAGCCAAGAAGAGTATGATGCCCTTCCAGGCCACACTCCAGTGACCACTTGCCAACAGCAAGTCAGCTATGAGCCCCCATGATTCAGTCTCCTTCCAAAAACCCCACTTGTGAGCGCATGAGACTCTTGGAGGACGTCCAGAAATAAACCATAAATTAGGCACAGTAAGAGATTAATAACTTACTCATAATAAAATGTAGCAGTTACAACAATATAGTACAACTGGCATCATCTGTACTCTTGAGCTTTGCAGCCATTGTTATGTAAAGTAAGGGTAGCTGAGCCCAAGTGCGGTGATGTTGCAAGAGTCAGCCCTATGCCTGACAACTCCTGAGTGACAAACAGGGAGGTGGTATATGTGGCAGGCACACTGGGCTTGATGGCTCAGGCCCAGTGTGATGGGACAGGACTGCAGGGGCTCTGTTCACACTGCTGAGGAGGCAGCATAGTTTGAAACTTAAGAATTATTTATTTCTGGATTTCTCCATTCAATATTTTTGGACCTCAACTGACTATGGGTAGCTGAACCTGTGGAAGTGGAACCTCAGGTGAAGGGACTGCTGCAAACTATAGGCCTGGCTTCTGCATCTTGTGAAATCTGACATTGCTGTGATGTGAACTGTCTCCCCCACATGGCTTAATGAAGCTTTTTCAAAGAGTACCTTATAGCTCAGTTTCCATGCTGTGGTCCCAGTGTCTGTCCTGTGGGTTATTGTTCAATCCAGGGATGCTACATGTTGGTGATGTATACTGTTACCCTGCAGCGTCTAAATGGGTCAAAATCTGGATTCAGACTTCCTGGTGGGATCCTGCTAGCAGCTCATTATGCTGAGCCATGTGGACTACCAAATATGCGTGCCAGTGTTTCACAGCACTGGAGAATTCTCACTGCCTGGAAGGTCTTAGAAAAGCATGGAAAACTAATACTAAACACCTGGTTTATTGACGTTGCAGTTTCTTTTGGAGTGGGCACAGCAACAGATCCATGATCGTTCATGTCTTCCCAGTGGATTTACTGGGGCATCTGCCTTTTGGAGCATAGACCTCTGTCCAGGGTGGGATCCTCTGCCCTGGCCTGACAGAGGTAGAAAGTAGGATCTGTGGGTCCTCCATCAGCTCTTGAGGACTCCCGTTCTGGGAACACTGGATCCTTAGTCATGGGGCTCCCTTGGTGGGCCAGTTGAATTTATGATAGATTGTCTCATACAGTGGCATCCCAGTCTCTCAGTTAAATTTTCAGGGTTGTTTCCCTATGGTGGGCCATTTCTTCCTGACCAGCCCCAGCAGAGATGATGAATACAGAGGAATGTTAAACCATGCAGTGCAAATCTGGACTTTCAGGAAATGTTGGTTTCTTTGTATACTTCCTTAAAAAAACAAAAAACAAAAAACAAAGTATTTTATAGATCTAAGGTGCCATTAATTATAAGATATTCTGATTTTAGAAATAGAAATGGTATAATTTGTTCAGAATCAACCAAATATTATTTCTTCTCAGATGCCTGTACTTGTGGAGATGAGACAAGGGCCAGAGTGCCTCTGTAGATCTTGAAGCCTCAAGTGGTATAAAGAAAGCCAAGGACTCAGATAGGGTGCCCTTTGCTGGGATCAAAGTGCTGGTGCCCAGGCACTAGAGACTCGATTCCTACTTGTATTGGAAGCTTCATTAGACCATAAGCTTCACAGTCCCAACCTACTTGAAGGAAAATGTGATTATAGACTAGCGTATTACCATGTAGGTCACTCAGCAGCATGGACGAGCAGGTAGGACAGTCACCATCATTTCTAAGATGACAGGTGGCTAACAGGAAACACGCAGAGGGAAGAGGCAGCTCTGCCAGGCAACCTGTGGTCAGCATTGGACCTGCTGCACAGACGGTCTCCTACTGCTATCACAGCTTTTGGGTGTCAGTGCCACAGACTCTGGAGTTTTTGAAGATGCTGGTCCTGGTCGTATGAAGTACAGCACTATGATGATGAGCAGCACATAACACGTGGTAAATGATACAGCATCAGTTTCCACATTTACCATCCTGTGCCTTTCTTCATTACTTTAGAGTGCTCATGGCCCTGTGGGCAGAAGCCTGTATCATATATGGAGATGTGGACAGGCTGGACCATTTGGGTTTGTGTCAGCTCACTATGATGGCTGCATAACTGAATTGCCTGACGATGCCTCTCTGAGACCATATTTCCATCTACGTGACACCGAACTCACTGGAATAGAAAATCTATTGATTCACTACATCAGATTTGATATTTCTCTTAACCTTTTGTTAGGTTCAGGGAACAAGTTTCCGAGGTTGGAAAGATGTGACTTCTCTGTTTAATAAAGATGATGAACAACATCTGCTCGAAAGATGTAAATCTCCCAAGTCCAAAGGGTAAGTCACAAATGTGTAAAGAAAATGATCATTTCATGAGAGGGAGGAAGGCACGGGGAGGTGGAGAAGATGGCTGCAGTGGGGTGAGTGCTAGGGCCCTTGGAGAGGCCTTGCCCACACCGAGGCAGCATATCCTAATCTCTCTGTGTGAGGTGACCCCAGAGTTCCCCCACTGGCACTACACAGAAACTTGCATTCTTGGCAGTTCTAGAGACAAATGAAAGTAAAATATGCTTTTGGTGAAAGGTCTTGGGGCCATAAGAATTTTGAAACATTATAGAAAGTTAAAAAAGAGCTTAGAATTGGGAATTGAACTTATTTGCCTTAAGGCAGACTATAGCCATACTTTTATTACTTTCAGATTATAAAGAAAAACTGAAAAGGGATTGATTACTAAATTGTAAATGATTTTAGAAAATTAAACCAATTTAAACTGACATGTTGCTGCCACTTTATAAATATTTCAAAATGTTAAAGAGTACATTTAAAGTTGGAAATACATTCATGGACCACTTTGTGGTATTGCCAACTTCGGTTAGCTTTTGTTGCTGTGACCAAATACTTGAGAAAAGACAATTTAAAGAAGGAAAGATTTATTTTGGCTCATGGTTTCAGAAGTTTCAGATTATAGTCAGCTGGCTTTAAGGCAGAAATATAATGGAAAGGCTTGGTGGAGTAAAGCTACTTAACTCATGGCAGCCAAGACACAGAATAAAGAAGGAATGAGTCCGAGATGAAGAGCTGTGAACAAGACGTAGTTCCCAAGGTCATTCCCCATGACCCACTCCCTTCAACTAGTTCCCATCTCCTAACAACCCCCTCAGCTGTGATCTCAATGATGGCTTAATCCATTTATGAGGTTACTGCCCTCATGATCAAAACCCTAAATGAGTCTTTTGTGGGACATTGCTTCAAACCATAACATTCTACCCCTGGACTCCAAAGGCCTCATTATGCAAAATGTTTTTAGTCCATCTCCAAGAGTCTCCCATAGTCTTAACAGTTCCAACATAGCTCAAAAGTCAAAGTCTGGAGTCTCCTCTGAGACTCAAGGAACCTTAAAGTATGAGACCTTATAAAGGTAAATAAGTTACATACTTCCAACATGTAATGTCAGAGTTCAGTTTGAAAAGGAGGAATAGGAAAATAGCAAGGAGGAATTGGCCCAAAGCCATATAGAAAACTGGCAGGGAAAACATTAAATCTTGTAGGTCTATGTCCAGCATCTGGAGCAATATTTATGTGAGTTACAAAGTGTCTGAGTAGCTCTGTGCTTATGGTCTTGCCCATTGCAACCCATATGACCTCTGAGGCTGGCTCTATTTATTGCTTGCAGCTTTTCTCAGCAGAGGAAACTGGCATCTCTAACTTTTCCATTGTAACTTCACCTTCACTACCACAACTTCACATTTTGTCCTTTTAGGGCCTGCCCATAGGGATTCATAGCTCCTAAACCTTCCTTTGAAATCTAGGTGTAAGCCTCCAGGACTCTGTAAACCTTACATTTTGCATATCTACAAAACCAGCATCATGTGGACAATACCAAGGTCTACCACTGGCTTGACAGCAACTGGATCCCTTGGACTGTGGCTGCAATGGACTCAGAGTACCTGAATGGATGGGCATGGCGAACCTGTTTTCTAGGCAGCTATGTTTGAGAAGAGGCTGGGAGTTCTCTTAAATGAAAAGTTAACACTTATATCCTTGAGCCTGCCATGAGTGAGAGCTTGCTGATTCCTAAGGTGCACTCAAGATGTCTTTCTTCTTGTCCTGGTGCAAAGAACTTGCTTCTTTTTAATGGTGTTGATATCTTCAATAGTTATACCTTCTTTCAACTCTAGTCATATACTCTTTTCCTGGCCAAAGTGCATGTTTTTCAAATCTTCTGTTCTGCCTCTTACTCATAATTGCTCACTGAAAATGTGGATGAAAGGAACCAACAATATGTGTGCCACAGCCTGAGTGTTGTGCTGCCTTGAGATTTCCTCAGCCAGACTATCCTTCTTTAAACTCTGCCTCCCACAAAGTGAAATACATTTTTTATATATGGACAAAGTCTTCACTAGAATGTAACATATATGGTTTCTAGTCCAGTTTCCAAGAGTCTTCTTATCTGAAACCTCATGAGCATGGTGTTTACTGTTTATATACCTATCAGCATTTTCGTCTTCTGAGCCCACACTAGATTCATCCATTTGGTTCCACTTACGATAGTCTAAGGCTCCTCTAGTCTGCATCTCTAAGTCTTTCAAACTCCTTCCACAAACTAGTTCTATAGGCTTCTGAACCACATTGTCGGGTATAGACATAGTCATGACTCCACTTCTTGGTGCAGTTTTCTCTGTTAGGCAGTTTTCCTTTCCTGTGACAAAATACCTGACACAAACAACTTAAAAGATGAAAGGTTTATTTTGGCTCATGGTTTCAAGAGTTATAGTCCATGGTCAGTTGGCTCAATTGCTTTTAGAATCGTGGTAAGGCAGAATATCATGGTGGTGAGAGCACGTGGAGGAGGAAGGGTACTCACCTTATGATGGCCAGGAAGCAGAGAGGGGAAGAGCCAAAGAGGAAGAGGCTGGGCACAAGATATAAGCTCCAAGGTCATGTCCTGATGACCCACACCCTTTAGCTAGGCTCCCACCTTCCAATAGCCTGGTTAGCACACACTTATCAGTAGATTAATCCATTGATGAGTTTAGTTAGTATCTTCATATCTGATCATTTGCCAAAAGCCAAACCTCTGAGGACATGTGCCTTTTAGGGGCATTTTTGATCTCTGCAAGCACATTACTCTGTACAGGAAGTGCTGTTTGAGGAAAAGGTGACTCTTGGAGAGCTATAGGTGGTTTCCTTTTGTCAGCACCATGACATCTGTGTACCTATGCCCCTCTGCAATGAAGGCAGATTGCTTGCTCTAGCAAAGCAGTGGCTTTGCCTGCTGCTCTCTTGGCCCCTGGAGGATAGGGCAGATCAGTCCTCTTGGCTACCATGGACCTGCTGACACAGTAGCATCTCTGGGGCAACACCTGGACACCATGTTCCTCCCAGTGTTGTAGGATGGCCCTGGGTAGCAAACATGTGCTTTGTGTTGTTCATTTGCTTTTCATAGTAGAGGTGTTCTGAATTCTTGTTTTTGTTATGTACGTACCAAATGCTTGAGGCTAGGTTGCTATGAGTAGTCCTATTGAAAACCTACTTGCTAAATAGAGTACCCCTTTCCTAATCTGGACCCAGGATTTCATGTCTGGTTTGCTCAGATGCCTGAGCACTCCCTTCACATGGCCTTGAAAGGTCCTCCCTCAACCTACAATCCTCGTACCTAGCCTCCTCAGTGCTGGGATTATAAGCATTTGTCTTTACCCTTGGTTTGAATAGTTATATTTTTTATCTTTTTTTTTTTTAAGGGGAAGTGGTATTGGGGATTGAACCTAAAGCCTTAATAACATTTTCATATCTTGTGCCTGAGAATTGAGCCTTTGCTTATGCCAAGAAGTATCCCAAAGTATGGCTTATACAAGCATCATTAATAATGGGTAGTGACTAATTTTTCCTTATTAAATTTTAGTATTTATTTAAAATGTTTACACATAGCTCTGTGTTAGCTTTTTAAGTAATTGAACGGTTTTAGAAGAGAACTTTATAAAATTGACACATTTATAACATTGGATCAACAACATTTAATTCTCTCATCTCCTGCAGAACTAACTTACGATTAAAAGAAGAGTTGAAGTCAGAGAAGAAATCTGGATTTTGGGATAATTTGGTTTTAAAACAGAACACACAGCCTAAGAAACCAGATGAGATTGAAGGTTGGGAGCCTCCAGGACTTGCTTTCGAAGACATGGCTGATGATACAGGGGATGCCTCTAGTGACTGTCAGCGCTGGTCAGGCTGGGAGGGCGATGCAAAGGGTTCCAGCAAGTACACCAGCCTGTCCGGCTCGGCAGCCAGCTCCCGCTGGAGCCTGCGGTCAGCGGGGAAGCTGGTCAGCATCCGGAGGCAGAGCAAAGGTCACTTGACAGACCGCCAGGAGGATGTGGAGTAAGTGGGGCAAGCCGTGGTGCCAAGTGTATGCAGACCTCGCGCCGCTGCATAAGCTTTTGGGTTTGCCTGGTTTGGTGGTGTCCTGTTCACCCCATTCAGTGTCAAAGCTCCCAGCGTTACAGTAGGAACCCAGTGCCTGCATTTCCTACCTGATGCACGGTGGCTCCCCGGTGAACATGTGCAGGTTTGCATTTGGTTGCCTTAAGCAGAATGTCCACCCACTGTAGTCCATGTTTGCTGAAGATGTTCCACAGTGACTTGCAGTTGGCCAGAAAGTGTTCCCATGCTGCCCCAGCTGCAGTTCTGTTTTGAGACCTCTGCGTTCTCCCTTGCACGTGACACGTGGCCGTCTGGCGCCCTGTGGCAGATGTGCCATACTCTTCTGCCCTTAGAGGCTGTAGCCCCGGAGGCAAAATGAATCTTTTTCAAGGGTTGTTTTATATTCTGTTTAACTTGCAAGATAAACTTTTTTCTTACTAAATTTTTAAAAATATGTAACAAATTAAATACTGGAAAAGCAAAGGTTACATTTGAGAGTCAAGTGGCAGCTCGTGTGTCCACCACTGGAGGAGCAGCCTCCGGGTGCACTCATGGTAACCTTGCTTCTTCTGGACTCTATTGTTTCCCCTGAACATCTGAGTACTCCTCTTTATTTCCTTCAAAAATTTGCATTTTTAGTTCAAAGATTAAAGCAATGTTATAAAGTGAGGATGAATTTTAGTAATAATTTTGTTTGGAAAATTTTAACTTGCTGAGTATAGGGTTAAAACTATACGCTGAAGTGCCTCTTTTCTATTATCCCTATGTGTTTAGTTTTTGAAATGAGATACTGTGATTGATGTTAGATCTCTAGGAAATGTTTTCTCTAGATAGCTTGGGGCTGATTGGACAGCATTGTGCTCTGCCTGTCTCTGTAGACCTGCTGCTGTGTCCCGTGTGGCCCTGTGTGTCAGGGTCAGTGGTTGTGTCTGGCAGGGTAGCTCTTAGCAGCAAGTGGTGCAGATATCTATCTTAGGAAAAAGTGGTTTGATAGACGTGTATTTTTAGTTTATTAAAAAAAGCCTCCAGTTACACTGTATATTCCCTTCCTGGGAAAAACAAAATAACAGAAAAACAGCAACAAACAAAACTCATCCTTGAGTGTTCCAGTGCTGTTTTATTTACCTGGATGTTCTGTCTAATACTTCTGTGGGATAACTGAGCCCACTGGCCAAGCACAGTGCAGTGTGTCAGAGTGCTTGTTTGTACTCTTAGACAAGTTTACTTGATCAGTCTGTTCATCTGCCTTCTGTAGCTGGCTGTCCGTCTCTCTGCCCATCCATCCACCTGTCTGTCCATCCATCATCTATTCATCTGTCCACCCATCTTACCTTTTTAAAATAGAAAAATTTTACTTACCAAGTCTCAAAATTGGGACATGCTTTAAGTGGTATCCAAATAAATATTTGTTAGAACCTTGAAATTGTGAAAATTTTGTTTAATAACAGAAAAGTTTATAACTTTTAGTACAGAAGCTGAGTTGGGAAATTTTAAGTATCCTCAGGAAAGCTGGATGCACGGCTGTGACCCTCCACGTCCCCCGTGAAACACTGCTGGGATGACACAGACCTCCAGCATGCCAGGACCCATGCAAGTATCTTATAGCAGTAGCTGGTGTGCACTTCTGTTTGGGTGTGCAGGGATGGATGTAAGTTCTGCATTGGAGCCTCCAGCAGTCCAGCCAGTCGCCATGGTTGTGCCTCTGCTGCAGCACTGAGTGCCTGCAGTGCTCACTGACATTCTGCTGCACATGCTAGGGGCACCCATGTGTCCTTCCTCATGGAAGAAGACTGAGCCAGACTGGTATTGGCAGATGCACTGTGAGTTGAATTTACCTACAAAGATTAGTGAAAAAATGATTTTTCTTATATCTGGTTTTTAGTGTAAATATTTATTGGTGTGCTTTAGGGGGAAATGCTGTTTCTTGAAAGGACTTAACCAAAGTGAATCTTCTGTTTACACAGTGGCAGACCGGGCCAGGGTGCAGACAGTGCTGAGATTCTGGGAAAGTTGTGAGGACTTGCAGGCTTGGGCATCTGTGCCCTACAGTGTTCTGTGGTTTCTAACAGGATGTAACTGTCTTCAGGGAGGGAAGAGTCCACTGTAATGCTGAGATTTAAAAAAATAAAAGTACTGTTTTTGTCTTCTTCCCTCGGTAGTGTGCAAAGACATTATCATTCCCTTACAGAAATTTTACTTGATCACTTAACGCTAATGGCACTGTCTTGACCTTGTAAACTTCATTTTAAGGGTCAGACTCTAGGGGCTGGGAATTTAGCTCAGTGGGTCCAGTGCCTGCCTTGCAAGCACAAGGACCTGAGTTTGATCCCTGGTGCCCCCCCACCCCCCGCAAAAGGTGCAGACTCTATATGTATGTTTTCATAAATAAATGAATGGTTTCACTTTGCATCGGCTGGCTGCTGGCTGTCAGGGTGACTGAGCACCTGCTGCCTTGTCCACAGCTGCTCGGAAGTCTCACTGCAGCTAGGTAGGTACCTGAGCCTTTCAGGTCCTTAAGCAAGTTTCTACCTTCCATATCCACTTGAGAAACAGGAATGTCCCAGCCATGGTACATTTTTACCTAGTTGTTTTTTATTCATCTTTTGTAAAGATGCCTCTTGGTAAAAAGTCCTTCTTGAGAGGCAGAAGCCTCTTACCAGCTCCTGTGGGCACTTGATACCCAGGTGTGGCCCATGACCTCTGCCTATTAGTGGTGCAATGTTCTGGTGGAAGGTGCACAGCTGCGCTAGACAACTTTAGATTGGTGTCCCTGGAAGTATGGTTTCTGCTGGCTCTTCCTCGTGGCTCCTGGCTGTCTAGTTGGGGCCCTCCTCATCTTGTCTGTGGTCCAGAGATATTCTCAGGATTCCGTGAGAGCTCCTCAGGGGCACCTGTTGTTTTCTGGTTGCCTGAAGGCTGGGCTCTATGTTTGTCCTCACCTTTGCCCTGTGTCCTTTAGCTGTTCACTCAGTCTCGTTATTAGGGTCATCATTCATTTGATACCCTATTATCTAGGCAACTGGGACATCTGCACAGACCCTGAAGAGAAATGGGCTAATGACTTTGCAAATCTACAGTAGCTATTTAAAAAACATTTCAAACAGTCCTGAAGTTGTTAAACGGGAGCCAGAGACCCACCTGAGAGCTCACTCTTCTATGAGGATATAAGAGCCTTTACCAAGTACAGGACAGGTGGCACAGTCGCCAGGCATGTTTGAGCTGTAATGTGTGGCTCCTCCTGGTGCTGCAAGACTGTTTCTGGTCACGGAGCCCAGATGCTGCAGCCAGGGTTGAGTGGGATGAAGTTATGCTCAATTCATTTCAGGTAAGTGATTTTTCCATCATTTTCTAGTTCTTCCAAAGATGACTGCCACACACTTTCTGTTGGGTGCTTATCAAGCTGTGCACAGCCCTTGTCTTGCTGCCCAATATTAGCATCTGGGTATCATCAGCACTCCTGGGATGGGAGCACTCCTGGCACTTTTTTGCCCTGGTGTTGGTCTTGGCCATGTGAGCCGCTCTCAAGCACCTAAGTCCTGACAGCTACACTGAGAAGGAAGAATCTCATCAAAAGGAAAACTTACAATTTCCTAAGAGCAGGAAAGTGGTGACACAGCTTTTGCCATCTGTTGAAAAGTATCAAATTCCTACTGAAAGAAGACTTGCTTTGTTAGGGAACAGAGGGATCAGATCTGTGGTGCGAAGGGCTTTGGCCCAGTCTCCTGTGTAGAAAGTGTGGTCTTCACAAGGGTTGTGAAGGGGGCAGAGAACTGAAGGCTGGGAAGCCATGAAACCCTGACTGCTCCTGGCTTTCCTCATCCACCAAGCTCCAAGAGCTGTCAGCCACAGTTCTTAAGAGCTCAGGTATGAACTGCTAAGGGCAGCAACCCCTGGATAATGAAGGGTCTGCAGGTGCTGGTGTGCAGACAGAGGTGTTCCTGGCCTCTGCCTCCCCTTGGGCTGGTGTCACTTGGAACAGAGGCCTAGGTCATGAACACCAGAGGTTCACAAGGAAGCTGGCCTCTGGACTCTACAATTTTCAGTGGCTCATTCCCTGTGGGGGTGCTGTCCTTGCGTAGCTGTACGTTTACCACATGCACAGTAGCAGCCTGGTCTCACCTGCATCTTGCCTGTCTGTCCATTCTCAAAGTGTGCTTCCTGGTGGACTATATCCCTGCTGGGCATACAGCTTGAGGCAGCGACACTGCTATGACATCTAAGAACATGAGATGTAGTACAATATTTGTAATAGCCACTTGGTTTTCTTAGCAGTCTGTATTTTTTAAAATGTAAGCTGGTCCAATGTAACTTAGTACACTGGAGTCTGGTGACGTTTGATAGGGGAATCCATTATCCTGCTGATGTCTTACCAGAGGAGACACCCCGTACCAGCACCATCACAGTATTTTTAAACCCACAAGGACCGAGAAACATAGCAGGCCATGTGGCTGATAGATGTTAAGGTGAGGGATTATGTTTGTGGGATAACTTTTAGCTATATTTTTCAATCTGTCTGGAATACATTAAAAAGTTGAAAGATTGTTGGGCACTGTGGTACATGCCTGTAATTCTAGCATGTGGGAGGCTGAGGCAGGTGGAACACTGAATTTGTTATGGCTTGTATCTAGATACCCCCCCCCAGCCTCATGCTCTCATAGAGCGTTTTGGAGCTGGCTGGATCTAAGGTGTGATGCTGAGATTAAGGGTCAATGGATTGGTTTATCATAGTTCTGTTTGTGGATAATGGGAAGGCCCACCCTGGGTGGGTGATACCATTCAAAAGGCTTGTAGACTAGATGGGGTAAAAAGGAAAGGGAGGTTTACTTTGCTGCCTTCTTGCCTACTCTGCCATGGACTGTTTCTGTTCTACCATCCTGTGCCTTGGAGCTTACTACCAAACCTCTACAAGCTGAGCTAAAACAAACTTTTCCTTCTTTAACTTCAGGTGTTAGGTATTTTGTCCCAGCAATGAGAGAGTAATCAAGACAGAGTTCAAGGCTAGCCTGAATTATATAATAAGACTGTTTAAAAAAAAAAGTTGAAGAGAATATAGTCAGTCATTGAGCACTGTGTTTAGAAAATGTGCCTTTGAGTATTTCAGAGGCCCATGTTCCTCACATAAAAAGATGAAGTAACCAGAAGGTGGGAGGGCTGGTTCACTTGTGCATCTTCTTGCTGATTCCCATCGAGTGAGACCATAGATGATTCTTGGGCATCTACCCAGATCAGAAGAGGCTGAGCTACAAGTGGTGCCACCTTGGGCCCACCTTCTGGGTCAGCCCATCACTGCATGGACTTTGGGAAGATGACATAGGCTGCTGTTTGGTCTTGTCACTGGTGGAAAGCCTTATTGGATTTGGGCCCTGTTTATTTTGGTCTCACTTTCTCAGATGTGTGCACAAAACTATCCTGAGACTCTCTGGTCATCCCCTTCCCTCTCCTGGCCAGGGGCCACCAGAGCTATTGACTGCGTTAAGTTTAGAAAATGATCTGGCACAGTGGAATGAAGCGGGGAATGTGGATTGATGAGCCAGACAAAATCATCCTGTTTTTCGATTAACATTTCACTTCACTGATGTAGAAAACTCACCTCAAACAGCCAGCTGTGTTTGAAGTCTCAATACTTTCTGCCAAAAATTGTATTGGAAAAAACAAACAAAAGAAAAACAAATGAGCATAACAAAACAAAAAATTTAAGTAGGTGTTGCAAGTGAGACCACTTAAAAATAACGATGTTTAGACAAAATGATGAAGGTCATAGCCAGCACATGTCATCCTAATGGGAGCCCCTTGCTCTCGTGCCTGCATGCCCATACTCTTTATCCCTTCTGTCATCTTCACACCTAAGCCAGGGGCCCACCCACCTGCACCTCCAACTGTCAGGTGAGGTGCTGTCCTGAGGATTGGATCTGCCATACTGTTTTATGGAGACTAAGAGGCAGGAGAATTTGGTGAGCACCTGGGGATAGCTAGTATTGACAGGAGAGAAGCTGCACCTGGAGGCAGTCAGGTGGGGACTCAGGTGTGGGTAGGGAAAGCTGTGCACATCAAAAGACCTATTACATGTATGCTTAAAGGGGCCTGGACCATTTGAGACTCCTGTGCCTGGATCCGCCAGCACCTGTGGAATGGACTGGCACAGCTTCCTCATGGCCAAGGCCAGTGCTCAGGGCAGATGTTTTCATCAAGCAAACCTCATTTTGCTGCCTGGGTGGAGCAGATGGGAGCTGAGTCTGGGGCTGAGTGAGAAAACCAGGGGATTAGAGTAGTGGGGACAAAGTCCCTTCTGGAGTTTGGTCTGTGCCTTGCTGTGCAAAATAACCAGAGTTTACAAAGTTCCTCGAAATGTTAATTACAAGATACTCCAAATTAGCCAGCCTTATACAGATGTTCTTAAAAGGGGCTTGTACCAGGATCTTTTAGAATCTGTAAGCAGCTCAGTTTAATTTCATCCTGAGTTCCAGATCCTTTGCATGGGTCTGTGCCCAGCCCTTCCACTGAATCCGGAAGAGCTCTGCACACTTGGGTTCATGCGGAGGGCTCACATCCAGGTAACTGCTCAGGGAGGAAGGCCACCTCCCAGAAAGCCAGGTGTACCTATGTTCACTGAGTGGGCCTTGGGCCACAGGGGGCAGATGGGAGGTTTTGCTTTTTCATCCCTTCAAGCAGATTGCATTCCCAACCCGCAAGAGATCTTGGAGGTCAGAAGGCAAAGGGACAAAAATAAGTAAAGCTCCAAGAGGCAGTTATTACCATGCTAACTAGCATATTTCAATTTGGCTCATTTTAACTTGGGCAGAGGAGCCAAAGTTAGAAGTTTATTATAAAAATAAAATCTGCCAAAGCATAAAGAATAGTATGCAGGACACTCACAAACCTAGCCATCGCAATTTGGCAAGTGCGGATTTGTGTTTGAGTGGTGCAAATGCTGCTTGTGGGCATCCTGAGACCAGAACCTGTGTGTACACTGTTCTGTAGGACAGCGGTGATCCTATGTAACTTCTGAGTCACCCAACAGCCATATTTATGTTTAAGTTCCCCAGTTGCCTGGAAAAGGTGTTTTGCTGCATTTATGCTGTTTACCCCCTAAACCAGGTACTATGATCTCCAAAATCCTTTTAAAAATGAAAAACCTGCATTCTTCTCTTTTCCATGGTTTTTGCAAAATATGCCACTGTTTCTTTGTAGTGTTTAGTAATTCTTCCATCCTGTGTATTTCCTACAAGTTAGAAGTTAGGCCAGGGATTTAGCTCAGCGGTTCGGTGCCCTACCTTGCAAGCGCAAGGACCCGAGTTCAATCCCCAGTACCCAAAAAAAAAAAAAAAAAAA